CCTCCATCGCCGCCTTCATGCCTACATACGGCACCTTTATGATGGCCAGGTAACTGTTACATGTATCAATTTTTGATTTTGACTCATTTTATGTTGAATCGTCATGAATCATCTGTATTAAAAAGCAATTAGCCGTCTCGGATCTATCTTATAGTAGCCTTTATAATGTCATCACAATGCATACAAAACATGCTAGTTACTGTAATGTAATGGAACACTGACAGATTCCCTGACTATACTTTGTTAAAACTCACAAAACAGATAAAAGCAAACTGATATTATTTTGTCTCAAAGAATTAAAATGGCTATCCTCATTTTTTTTATTATTTTACATAACTGTTAGGACGGAAATTATGAGTGTTAGTGAAAATCTACTAAACATGTGTGAAAAATATGAACAACTTGAGTAAAGCCATATATATTATTTACTTTACTATATTACTATATTATGATAAATGCGAAAGTTTAGATGGATGGATGGATGGATGTTTGTTAGAGTTTGCAGCCTAAACAGCTTAACATCGTTATGAAATTTGGCATAGATGTAGAGGATAGTCTGGAAGAACACATAGGCTACTTTCTTTTGTTTTTATTAATACCACGCGGACGGAACCGCGGGCGGAAGCTATTTTTTAATAAATACAAATTAAAAGACACACAGATTTCAAGATCACCTGTTCTTACACAGGTGATCTTGAAATCTGTGTGTAAAAACGAACAACTTAAATGTATTTAACAATGTTAGGTTCTGTTCATCGATTGGTTCTGGCGGCACGTCGTCAGTGGGGTACACGTACTGCGGGGAGTGGTGCGCGCGCGCCCGCCGCCGCCGCGCGCTGGCGCTGCTGGCTGCGGGCGCGGCCGCGGGCGCGCTGCTGGCCGCCGCGCTCGCGCACGCCGTGCTGCCCGACACCGGCGTCGACGCACTCAGAGAGAACAAGGAACACTTTAGTGCATGGCACAGGTATACTAGTCCATACTTTAAATAGTGGACCCGCTTTAACATCTTCGCACGAATGGGTCGGCTCGCCCGGTGTAATACTACGACCACACAAAAAACAGGCGTGAAAC